TTGGGATTTTTTTTTAATCAGTTTATTAATTAAATAGATTGAGTTAACTAGGCTACTTCTCCCAGCTGGCTCTGTCCGATATTTACTTTTATTTATCGTTCTATCGGATGTTTACTTTTATTTATCATAACCTATTTACGTCAAGTAAAAATTCAAATGACTTGTACTTTGGTGCCTAATTTCTTTTAAGGATATGTTAATGTTGGAATAATATATAAAAGTGTTTATCTTTGTATGTTAAGAAGTTGCTATTGAACAATTGAAATTATAAACATATTCTAATCAATTTGCCTTGTCGTTAAATAGAATACTTGATCTGGAAATATGAAAAAAAAAATCAAAAGAAATCAACAAGCCAAGGTTGGTCTCTATGACTGGTATAACATATCAAGTTTTACTGCAAAACAATAGGTCCAGTCTCGCCCTAGAAAATTATGAATCTTTAATAGAAGCAAATGTTGCAATCAGATCAGTCCCTAGGAGGTCCATTGTTAAAATTCTCGCAACCAGATCATGTTCTGCTAATGGATTTGAGATAATGGTCTTTTGTTATATATTAAGACAGGTTTCTAGAAAAACATGAATGGTTATTTATGGGTGTTTTGTTCAAGTGACGTATTTAATTGTTACATAATTAATGGAAAAAGTTTGTCTGTTGTCTGAACATCTAAAATCAGAAGAACAATTTTCCCGTTTTTTGCTGAACATCATCAAAAATTGTTTTTGTTTATTGACAAGATTTATTGTAATAATTTGACGAGTGAGCTTATTTTGTAATTTTTCAATTTTTATTTATAAATAATGTTCCTTGAAAAGAATGTCTGTCATTTCAAAAACTGTATGCTTTAATTTAACTGGTTTTCTCAGAATCCATAGAAAAACACCAAAGCAGTTAACTATCTCATTGTCAGTGCCTTTGTGAAACGTTTGTAATTTTATTAGCAATCTGTTGACACGTAAAAGTACCTTATATGTAAATGATTCTTTTGTTATTTTAAGGGAACTCCACTTAGGTCCAAAAGCCCTAAAACATAAAATTTGAATTTCTGACATAGATCACTAATGGCACTAAAACAGACAAATATGCAAAAGAAAATTAAGAAATATACTCGAAAATAAATTAAAAATTGTATTTTTATGCTATTCTTAAATCAATTTGTAATTTTGGGTAATTTTTTTTTTGGACAAAATAATCATTCTGGAGTGAATGATCTGAAATGTTGCACACAAGTATTTGGTCAATGCCTACATCAAATGCAACATTAATCTCATAAAATTATTTTCAGTCCGGTCATGTCAAAAAACCTCTGTGGAGTCGTTTTAAATATTCTTGAAGTAGTTTTCAAATTTAATGTTCTTTTATTCATTGTTTTATTGCAGGAAGACCAGAAGACATTTTTATCAAAACATTGATCAAGAAATCTCACAAACAGAGAATGGCTACCAAGGCAAAGTTCCGGCAAAAATATGATTTGGTAAGCAATCCCTTAACCTGCTGAATTTATGAAATGGATTTGCCTAGCTTCAGTTTGGGACAGTTCATTCAAACTTTACAGGTTTTCAAAATGCAACAATTGAACTACCTACAGTAAAAGTGTCTCAGGTCACCCAACTGTGTTGAGTGTGGTCAGAATTTTCATGTTATCTGTCATGATTTATCATAGTGCTTTCGAGGGATGACTTTTTCTGTGGGGCAGCTGTAAAAAGTTGCCCCGTACTTCACTTCAGTGTTGTTATATTTTTTCTGGTCCTTCGGGATCATTTATTCCAGCACATTTAAGTGTTGAAAATTGAGTACCGCTCAAGCCGATTGCTAGGAGGCATGACTGATGTTGCTTATTATACCCCGGCACAACAAAGTTGTAAGGGGGGTATACTGGAATCAGCTTATCCGTCCGGCCAACCGACCATCCATGGGTTTTCCATGTCCGCCCAATAACTAACGATTCCTTTGACCCACAGTCTTCATATTTGGCATGGAGGTTAGTCATGATGAGTAGATGACCCCTATTGATTTTGGGGTCAAAGGTCAAGGTCACAGGGGCCTTGACTAAAAAAAGCTTGTCCGCCCAATAACTTAAAGTTCCTTTGCCCCACAGTCTTCACATTTGGCATGGAGGTTAGTCATGACGAGTAAATGACACCTATCGATTTTGAGGTCAAAGGTCAAGGTCACAGGTGTCTTGACTAAAAAAGCCTTTCCGCCCAATAACTTAAGATTCTTTTGACCCACAGTCTTCATATTTGAAATGGCGGTTAGTCACCATGAGTAGATGACCCCTATTGATTTTGGGGTCACTGGGTCAAAGGCCAAGGTCACAGGGGCCTTGACTGAAAAAAGCGTGTCCGCCCAATAACTTAATATTTCTTTGACCCACAGTCTTCATATTTGGCTTGGGAGTTAGTCATGATGAGAAGATGACCCCTTTTGATTTTGAGGTCACTGGGTCAAAAATCAAGGTCACAGGGGCCTTGACTGAAAAAAGCGTGTCCGCCCAATAACTTAATATTTCTTTGACCCACAGTCCTCATATTTGGCATGGAGGTTAGTCATGATGAGTTAGTGACCCCTATTGATTTTGAGATCACTGAATCAAAGGTCAAGGTCACAGGGGTCTTGACTAAAAGAAGCCTGTCAGCCCAATAACCACAGTCTTCATATTTGGCATGGAGGATAGTCATGATGAGTAGATGACCCCTATTGATTTTGAGGTCACTGGTTCAAAGGTCAAGGTCACAGGGGCCTTTACTTTAAAAAGCTTGACCTCCCAATTACTTAAGATTCCTTTGACCCACAGTCTTCATATTTTGCATAGATGTTAGTCATGATGAGTAGATGACCCCTATTGATTTTGAGGTCACTGGGTCAAAGGTCAAGGTCACAGGGGCCTGGACTATATAAAGCTTTTCCGCCCAATAACTTAAGATACCTTTATTCCACTGTCTTCATATTTGGCATGGGAGTTAGTCATGAATAGTAGATGACCCTTATTGATTTTGAGGTCTTTGGGTCAAAGGTCAAGGTCACAGGGCCCTTAAGCTCAAAAAGCTTGTCTGCTCAATTGTGTAACAATGCTTTGGTCAGCAGTCATCATATTTGGTATTGTGGTTGGTTATGACTAGTAGATGACCCCTATTGATTTTTAGGTGACTGTTTCAAAGGTCAAGGTCACAGGGGCTTATACTACAATAAGTTTGTTCGCTCAAGGTAAGGTCACTTTGATCTTTGCCACAAAAAACATGTAGAATACGTAATTTAGCAATGCACTGGCTTACTACCCTCAGATTTGGCAGAAAGGTTGTCCTTGAGCTTTAAATGACCCTGTTGATTGTGACAAAGTGGTATGGGGGGTATTCACGCCATGACAGTAGCAGTTCTAGTTTTAAATTTCCCTCATGAACAGACTCGATCAAACCGAGTCTGCAATGTTCATGTTAATTTGTTGTGATAAATGCTTTTGAGGGATCACATTTTTTCTAGATTTTTTTTGTCCAGCCTTTAGTGTAAAGTCAGGTTCTGATCAGACTTCAGATGTGCAGGCTGGCTGGGCTCAGTATACTTGTGATAAAGGCATACAATATATAAACGGCTAATCTGGTAATTATTGCCAATATCATGCAAAGATATAACCTTACAAAGTGAATCTACTTCATCGATATATTTTAATGTGTTTTAATGACAAATTTCTTATCGATTGTAGTGAATTTAAGGATGTTAATATTCAGCAACAATCAGCTTGAATCTTTTGTACCAGAATAATGATGAATCATTCCAGCTAGAAAATTAATTCATTTCTGTTTTACAGATTGATCAAGCTGGTTTAAAGTGACATTTTGATTGAATTGCGTCATATTTGTAATGTAAGGAGGCTACTTATTAGTGTTGAACCAATGGTGGTCTGTACGGTGTATGAAATATAAGGTTATATAGGGATTTAAAACTTAAGTATAGAATCAACCGTGATCTAAGTAGAATATCAGAGACACAGATTCCTTATTGTCTAAGTTTCAAGTGTCTTTTTGTATTTTCTGATCGAAGATCAGTAAAATACAAAGCGGACATTCAATCTCTGACACAGAATTTAACGACAGACCTAACAACAAGTAGTTCTCAAAACAGCTTAAAACTAGCGATTTAAAAGGAAGAAATATTTTTATTTTGTTACAAGTATCCAACAAATTACAACGCATTCAAAGTTTAAAAGTAGCGTTGGCTTATAGAATTGTCAATAAATACACAATCACAAATTACGCGAATGAATATGATTTTAATCGATGAAAATGCTATTTTTAGCGATGTCGATTACCGAATACTACACATATAAATCTGACTGCCGAGGAGTGGAATATATAGATTCTACATGTCGGACTATTTGGGCGAGGACATTTTCGCTAAATTTTTTACTTCAATTTTAAACAACAGGTTTATCCTGAACAAAATACCTCGAAATTAATAAGGATTACAAACCCGAAATGCAATGGAAGTTCTCAATTTAGAATAACTTGATTTTATTCAGGCAACTTTGTATAACTTCTTCGTGGTGCAGGGGTAACCCGCTCATTTCGTGTGTGAAAGGTCTGAAGTTCAAATCCCAGTCGAGGCAATTTTTTTAAATTATTTTTTAAGTGTCCATGATATGCAAGGATAAAGTGTGGCTGTCATAAAAATGAACATAAATGATTTTTGATGCAAAATTCCATATGTATCAAACTCTGGTGCCTTGCAAGATGAATTATAGTACATAAAATAAGCTAATAAAAGAAAATACAGACAGATATATAGTACAATTTACAAAGATCAGAAAATACCACAGAGCTTGCAGCCCTTTGATTTAGTAAGAGTTGACATAATTTTACTATTCTTAAAGGAGCATGCCTCCAGATTCATGCTAATTTTCATGAAAATTTTGAAAATGCGTTTAGAAGTAAAATATTGTGATGTGAACAGAGAAAGTAATTTACACATTGCAAATGTCGTTTACTATCCATACATTAAATTACCAAAAAAAAAGGTCAAAATATGCAAAAATATCCCTGATTGCATTAGTCATGCAGTAGAAATATGGTGTTGATTACTTCAAAATCAGTCATTTGTCACAAAATGTAAAATATTACTTTTAACTGTTTTTCTTGAAATCCTTGAAATAGTATATTTTTCTCAAGTTTGTTCTTGAAAAAGTTCAACTCATTTGGAGGCATGCATATATTTGTCTTTTCAGGATTTAAGTTCAGAATTGAAGAATGGTCTAGGTCAGCCATGGGAGTACCTTATAGATGCTTTACTACAGGAGAGAGGCGTGGCAGACTCTTATGCTGTGTTTGATGCACTCAGTGTAAGTTTCCAACTTGTACAAATATCATTTCTGTTAGTCCCTATTTAGCTAATATCTTTTGAGACATGCATGCTGCCATCCCCCCATACCAATCATTGTTTGATATTGTATATAAAGGTGTTTGATTGTCAAAATTTTACTGTAGAAATTATAAGTTACATTACATCTACCTTTATTCTACCGTCAGACTTTGGGTTATGGACTTCTGGTTTGGAATTTTGGAAAGACATCCCTGGATCCAAAGTTTAAAGGATTTTAAAGTCAAATTCTAAAATTAAGCATTGATTATTAGTAAATAGAAGGTACAGACTGTTTGTAATCTTGTAGGTAGAGCTGACTGTATGTTAGTAAGCAGTTATTTCATGGGTGTTTCTGGAACAGTCAAAACTGTTGCCCCAAGGTATCAAAGATGACATTTGGAACTGTTGCCAAAGACACCCATTATTACCTAATACTTTGCAATCAAACTATAATATATATTGCAAAAACAAACTAATAACACATTTACATCTGAATCCTACAGACATTTGATTTTCTAAAAATCACTACCATATGTTGAGCTGAGTAATGTTCAGTAACCGAATAGCACTGGGTGGCTTTAACAGAAATTCCCTATGAGAGGGGTCTAAGATATAAAAATGTTGACTGGTCAACAGTTCATTTCATCATTGCACATGCACAGGACTTCAGCAGTTTAATTAAACAGTTGTAAATAAGAAATTAGTATTTATAGAAGGCATTAGGTAATTATGACTTATGTAAAGCTATTATCAACTTAAACCCATTCAAAGCTCATAGAAACCTGTCAAGATTTGACTGTAAATTACATTTTACAGAAGTTTAAGAGTACTGGTAGATGAATTCTCCTAGTTATAAATAATTTATTCCTCTCAAGTTGTCTGGCTATAAAACAACAATTATTTCAAAAATTATTTCAAAAATATTGAATAGATTATTGTATTGTCTTTGATATTGTACTTTTAGTAGTATTTGCTTTAACAATTGTTTTTTGGCTTGCAGCCACGGCTGCAAGCCATTTCATTTGGAAAACTTGTTCCGGTTAGGTGGTTTCCTGCTTACATCTGTTGGTGCATGATTGAACGGGAAACCAGCTGCAATCGTGCCAATCGCAACTTTTCGGCCTTTTCCGTCACTCTTCGGATTAATGATAATAGCCGATGTAGTTCCGATTGCAATCGTGACAATTCGGGTGATTCCGTCATACTGCGGATTCAGACGAAGTAATATTTCAGAAATCTAAGCTATTTTAGTTACTTCGGTAATCCAGGTTTGTTTATATAAATAGGATTTCTATTTTTACTCGATTTATCGGTTTAAACCGTAATAAATTATAAACGAAATTGTTCCGTTTCAATTGTTTTTCAAGACGCAAAAGTTAGTCTCTTTTATAATTGTTTTTTTTTTGTCTGTATTAGTTTTATACAATAAAGAATGGTGACTGTAGTAGTATTCTGTCTTCAAAGGGTGGTCCTGCTTACCAAATCACGCATGATCGAGTTATATTTAGATCTACTGAACGCAATTCAACTTCTTGGTGAGGTAATCTAAAAATAGCCCATACATATCATTAACCTTGCCACGTGCTGATCTACAGATAGCGCATTGTATTTGTGATCGTGTAACATAGTTGATACATGCTTATTAATTGGTACCACGTAACGAAGTATTTTAGTGCATTTACTTGTCTATAAAGCAAACGAATGATTTCTCTGCGAAAAAGGGGAAATGAAATTGCACACTAATGTTTCCCTTCAGTATGATAGATAAATCTCCACGTTTTACGATTGATCATTTTCTTTATTAGTTTTATACAATAGAGAATAGATTTCAAATCGTTTTAACAAAAAATATTCGTTTTTCCAAAAAAAAAACAAAAACAACTTTATAAACCCTTTATGATATACAAATACCGTAATTCAAAAAAATTGTGATAATAAATTGAAACTAAAAAAAAATCAATTTTAAAGGGTTGGGATGAAGGCACAACTGTGCAAGCCTTTCCTTTTAAAAGGAAACTTTATATATATTATAGGATGCATTTAATTACAAAAGAGACAATTAATATTGTTCAATGATTTTTGTGTATTTTTGTTATGAAATTATTGAAAATTACAGGGAAGAAGTCAGCAGGTGAGGTGTTTGATGTAGAATGGAATGGCTTTTTGCTTTAATGAATTTACATTTTACTTTTCATAATAAGGATAAATTCTGTTCTGTAACAGATTTTTCAAGTTTATATAATTATATGTTTAGCTTGTCATGTGGTAGAGTGTTTAGTGTTTAGTTTGTGGGATATGCGTTTAATCAAAGGAGAATAATGTTTTATTTTTACATTTTACCTAAATAATAGTAAGAAATACGAAGTCCTTAATATTAATTTTAATGTCAGTCTAAGCTCAACGGTCAAGGTCACACATAGAGCTCAAAGACCAAAAATATTGTCCTATTTTATGTGTCCTGTCCTTAATGTTGTCATTCTTTATAGATGTTGAAATTAAAATACAGTATATGTCACCTTTAGTTTTACATCTTGTTAGGTTTATGGTATGAGTGTCAAACTTTATGAACTGAAGGAGTTATGGCAATTTTTCAGTGAAAACCAATGGCTAAATTTGATTGAGAATCTAAAACAACTTCTTATTGGTACCAACCGAAGGAACTCTGATTCATTTTACTATAATTATGCAGTTTAAAGACTGTTGGAAAAACATTGGCTCAATATTTAACAAATGTATAGGATGCAGTATGTTTCTATGTAATAAAATAAATAAAAGGTTTTTATGATACAACAAAAAAATTCACTGGAACTTTATCATATGGTTGTTAGATTGAAAAATTGCTTAATGCTTACATTAACGATAACAATGCTGGTGAAATGATAGCTTTTGTCTTGTTTAGAATATGAAATGTCGTCAAAATTAGAACAATATAATGTCATTTGAATAATGAAAATATGAGTTTCAAAGTTACAAGAATTTTTTTAATAACTTGCAAACAAATCATATGTCTCTATTTAGGGAATATGTAAAAAAAAATGTTCTAAAAATATCCAACTTACCAGAATCTGTGATATTTAATGGTTTTGTTTACTGTTGAAAACTGTTGAACTTTTATTTAATAGCAGATACTTATTTCTGTTTTGGAAGTTGCTGGAGTTTTTGCAGCATTAACAAAAGAAGCTTTTTTATGCCCCCACAGAGTGGGAGCATATAGCGTTGCACTTGTCCGTCCGAGTGTCAGTCCGTCAGTCCGTCCGTACGTCCCGAAATCTTGTGAACGCAACTCCTCTTAAACCGGATGGCAGATTTTGCTTAAACTTACAAGGATGAACAACCTTAATGTGTAGATGGTAGTAAAGGAAGGAATTTTCGCTGCGACCAAATTTAACAGAATTATGGCCCTTTGTTGATTTTTTCACTAGATACTATGTAGAAATTTTGTGAACGCAACTCCTCTTAAACCGCATGGCAGATTTTGCTTAAACTTACAGGGATGAACAACCTTAATGTGTAGATGGTAGTAAAGGAAGGAATTTTTGCTGCGACCAAATTTAACAGAATTATGGCCCTTTGTTGATTTTTTCACTATATACTATGTAGAAATTTTGTGAACGCAACTCCTCTTAAACCGCATGGCAGATTTTGCTTAAACTTACAGGGATGAACAACCTTAATGTGTAGATGGTAGTAAAGGAAGGAATTTTTGCTGCGACCAAATTTAACAGAATTATGGCCCTTTGTTGATTTTTTCACTATATACTATGTAGAAATTTTGTGAACGTAACTCCTCTTAAACCGCATGGCAGATTTTGCTTAAACTTCCAAGGATGAACAACCTTTATGTGTAGATGGCAGTAAAGGAAGGAATTTTTGCTGCAACCAAATTTAACAGAATTATGGCCCTTTGTTGTTTTTTTCATTATATACTATGTAGAAATTTTGTGAACGCAACTCCTCTTAAACCGGATGGCAGATTTTGCTTAAACTTCCAGGGATTAACAACCTTATGTGTAGATGGTAGTAAAGGTAGGAATTTTTGCTGCGACCAAATTTAACAGAATTATGGCCCTTTGTTGATTTTTAGTTTTCAACTTGTGGCACATGTAGTCCAAAAAATATTTGACCTAGAGTCATAAGATTGACAGAACAGTGTCGTGTGGGGGCATCCGTGTCCTATGGACACATTTCTAGTTTCAGTTTGATTTTATTTGCTGAGTTAATTTTTTGAATGGCAATAGAAAATTTATTTTTGTTTGTTTTAAATATTGATACTGTTTCTTACATCAAAACTAATATATTTCCTGTAATTATGATATAAATAATGTAATTCTTTTATTACTTTATCGCTGTGACAAAAGAAAAGAACGTTTATTAGAAGATCAAAGGAAATATAATAGATTTGATATATATTTTACATTTATTTTTTCAAAAATGCTATAACATAATGTAATTTATTCTAGATTGTACTGAACTCATACAGAATTTAACAATGTTTGCATTCTGTTAAGGCCAGCTATCAGTAAATAAAGAATTAAGAAATTATGAATTTCGAATGAGGCATCATATAGTGATATTTCACTCATTGAAGAAATATTTACATGTACATGTTTTCTTACTGTAAGAAAGAAAGGCCAAATGTTTTTATTTTAATATGACTTGTTTTTCAAATCTATAAATTTAATTTAAAGTCGTCTTCTACGTGAGACCCTCTTGTGCTCTTTACAGCTATTTTTTTTGGATTGTTTTAGCTATGGTATTTGATTTACCTTTTCAATAGATGTTTGGTGCTTGTTTTTTTTTCTTTTTTTTTCATTTTTTTGACATGACGAGAAATTTTTGCTCTGAGATTTTCTATACCATATGATGTAGGTCTATGCACTTGTTTCCAAATTCTGCTTTTCCAGAATTATAAATTTTGTTGTTAAAAAATCACTATGAAATTCAAATAAAAGCATTAAAAATGCTTAAAATTAATAAAATGGGGCTATGAATCAGACTCAGTATTGATTTCAATTTAATTCTTGGAATATTTCATTATTATCTTTTTAATATATTTTTTCAATTTGGATGAACTACTTAAAATATTCAAATCAATGATTTTATGCTTTTGGACAGTGACAGGGACCTCAATGGAGCTCCTTCAACCCTTTACTGCATACATGTAGATGCACCTTTATTGCATGGATCCAGATCAGCCATATATGCCATCTGTTCAGGGTCTACCCTGTTTGCTATAAGATTCATTAGGTTATTTCTGACCAAAATGTGACCATTGCAGTGAAGATCCAGTTCAAACCCAAATGTGGCGGAAGATGGACAAACCCCACACCTCAAAATTTTATAGAGAGGACAAAACCTAACACATGAATTTTATATTCTGCATCTACACTGGTTGAAAAAAATTAGTTAAAATGCTTCTATATGGAGTAAGTTGTCAAAGAGATTGTTAAAATAGCTACATGTAGTAATCTGAAGACCACAATAGTTACACTGATTGTGTTCTGTTTTCTGACATGGTATTGATTACGATGATTGAATGTTGCTTTGTTATTGTTTACCACAGACAGCAGACATGTGTGACGTGGTCGAGCTGTTATGTTCCAGGGATAATGCCACTATAGCAGAACTCAAGGAATCTTATAGAAAAGGTAAAGAAAAAATAAAAAACTATGTCTGTTACTATGTTCTTTTAATCAGTATGAATTGCATGTTACAAAATTTTCTTTAAAGAAAAGTAACTACTGAGACTGTAAATATTTTCTTAAGTCATTAGAATTGCAAATTTTATAATTTTTTCATTACTCCATTGGTATATACAAACAAAAGCAAATAAATTTGTAATAAAGTAAAAGAATGCAACAACATGCTAGGAATTAGATTTTGTATGCAAAAAACTTGTTAAGGATGTTACATTCATAAATAATAAGCTTACATTGTATGAAGTAATGAAGAAATACTGCTGCCATTATTTCAAAGAAAAAGAAAGATTCAATCCTTCATTTTTTAACGTGACTAAAATTGTTCATGCCTGGCATTACTGTAAGAACAACATTTATATGGTACTTAAATAACTGTATCAATACATGTATAGTATTTATAATTTCATCATTTTAAAAATGATGAATTAATTTACTTTATTGATTTGTTTCAGAATTTTCAATCAGTTTAGAAGAGGATGTAACTGATAGATCCAAACCTCCATTACAAACAGTTCTTATAGCATTACAAAAGGTAATACTTCTCTTTTATCTATGCAACAGCTTTTTTTACAAAGCTTTGTAGCTTAAGATATGATTTGTCCAACATGCTTTCAGCTCTAAATCAAAGGTCTTTTACATAATCTTTAATTGACAGT